TATTTTCACAGTATGTAGAAGTGACCGATGAGTTATTTTCCAGAAAAAAAATTTCAATGTGGTTTTTCAAAATGGATGGGGAATCATGTTTAGACAACCAACAGCCTTTCCTGCTTTTGAGGTTGTTCCCACAGCCTGTCAACAGGAAGGGGCTAAGCTTAATCAGGCAGGAAACCTACAGCTGTTTTCAAACGGGCTTAATTTAACTCCCAAGTCTGGGACATAAAGTTTCTGTTCTTATATTTAAACCCACCTACCCACCCACCCACCCCGATATGCAACTCAGCCTAGTGGTCTCCCAAAATTCAAGAATCTTTTGCTACAAGATTCAAAGCTAATTAGAGACATAGATTGCTGGCTGTGATGTAGACTCAAAGACTCAAGTCAGAGTCAGCAACTGTTTCAGAAATACCAGACCTTGTATACCAGATGTTGTGTATAGATGTGGGCATCCCTTCCCATCCACTCAATAACCAGCCTCTGTTTGAAGATCTCCAGCAAAGAACCCATTGCTTTACACAGAAGCACGTTCTACTGTCTGGATGCTCATCCAGTCAACCACTTGTCTCAAGTACCTTCCCCATAAGGGGAGGTTAGATATTGGAAGAAAATTGTCTAGTATGAAGTCGTGATGGCTTCTTGAGCAGGGGCAACCCAAAGCCTCCTTAAGATGTGAAGGAATAATCTCCTCACTCAAAGAAAAACCACTGCCAGAACCCTCACACAACACCCCACCCTCCAAACTGGGCTGCTTCAAGAAGTCAAGGTGGGGCATGGATCTAAAGAGCAGGTAGCCAAGTTCTGTTGTCAAATTCTTCAGATCACGTTTCAATATTTAAGACATTTTATGACTTCATCACAAATTATTTTTCTAGTTGTGTAACTAGGGATGGAGCATATTCTAACAAGCTCTTCGGTAATTTTAAACTTTGTATTGATTCTACTTATAAAAATGAATAATTGTGTTGTACCAGTGTTTTCATCAATAAATGAGGTTGTTTTTTTTTTTTAAATTTCACAACTGATCAGTAAGTTTTTTTTGGGGGGGGGAGTCAGCTTTGTTTTTTGAACAGTCATTTGGGATTAGCCATTATCAATTATTTCTTTCTCTTCTGGGCATAACCTGGACATAGCAATCTGCAATGATGTCTTTAAAAGTTACCAACAATTTTCCTTGCAACTTTAAAGATCACTTAAATATAATAGCAATTGTAATGTCCCTCCCCCCAATTATAGTCTTGTCTGTAAATGTAGTCAGGATGTAATATTTTGGGAGGGATACTTATTGGTTCATGACACACAAGATACATAATTTTTTTGTTTAAAGAAAATATTTGCCCATTCTGCACTAAAAATTCTATGTTCCTATTCATTTTTCCTCATCCTGTATTTACTCATGGAAGCTAAGGGTACGTGTTAAAGAAACCACTCAAAGTCATTAATTTATTTAAGAAAAGGAGTATGTACCTTTATTAAACCCATGGATGTAAAACCAGTAGCACAAAAATGTAATGTAAAAGTTAACATGCAGGAAAAATAAATAACCACATTAAGGTAAAAAGTACAATTGACAATGAATCGATCATATCACAGTGCTGTTGAGTTTTATGGAGCCCATTTGCTAGAGTGCATGGAGTTGTGCATGAAACCCTTGTGAGAAGCAAGAATTCCTGGGTCACATAATCTACTGTAATTCAGCAATATGAATTTGTGCTCACTTTTATAGTATTTAAGAAAATAATTTGGTATTATTTTGTATAGACTAAATAACGAGCTTATGCATTCAGCAACTACATTTTAGGAATATATTTAAACTTGCTTTGTGACAAAACAATCTTATTTAATCAAATATTTCCTGGTAGTCCTTGACTTACAACCATAATAGAGTCCAGAATTACAGTTAAGCCATTGTGATCCTAAGTCAAGGTTTCACCTGACTGGACTTGATTTTTTTGAGGTGGTCATAAAGTGAACACAGAGGTTGTTAAGCAAATACGTTGGTCATTAAACAAATCCATTTTCCCCAATGGGCATTTTTTTGCCAAAAACTGGCAAAAAACATCACAAATTGCAGTCATGTGACCCCCCCACGGGATACTGCAAACAGTTATTAAGGAAAACCAGTCGCCAAGTACCCCAAATATGATCATGTGACTACGGGGAAGTGTGTGCTCAGCATTCATTACTTAGAAACTCGGTCATAAGTAGTTCTGGGGAAGTTCATCATAGCACTGAATAAGTAAGTGGCTAGTCATAAGTTGAGGATTTATGGATGTTGGATGTTATAGAATTACATACAGATATGACTGCTGTTACTTTGGATACTTGTTTATTAAACTAATTTGCAAGTGGTTCTTGGGTTACAATGGCAATTTGGACTGGAATTTCTGTCACTACACAATACAGTTATAAAGCATAACATATTTCCACTGTCTCCCCCCTCTCCCCCCTGGATTTCTGCTAAGAAAAAGCACCATGTATTAATTAGTTAAATAATGCCTTGGACCATACTCAGAGCAGCACACTTCTATTTCATTTACTTGGGGCATGCACTAATCAAAACCAACTTGTTCCTAAATGCCTTGGAGCATTTAATTCATTAAATAATTCAACAGTAAAAATAGTTGATCAACTCAGGACTGGCATTCTACAGTACACTAACAGGCTCAGACAGCCAAGACAACTCCAGTGCCTCCTGTGGCTCCAACAGTTCCAATTCCAGAAAGCTCCCACAACTAGTTGAAATTCCACCGCCAGTTAAAATTTTTCCTGTCATTAGTTAAAATTCCATCTGTTTTTGTAATTCAGTTTCTATCACATAGAATAGAATAGAATAGAATTTTTTATTGGCCAAGTGTGATTGGACACACAAGGAAATTGTCTTGGTGCATATGTTCTCATGAACTCAAGGAGAAAGCACAACCAAGCCAAGAAGTGATCACTGATCCTGAAAGAGAAGCTACTTAGCTCTTTTGAGGAGTTTATTGCAACAGCTGAGTGAAATAGCTGCTTGTGAACTGTAACAGAACAGAATGTAGTCATAATTTCATCTAAATCTATGTTCTTCACTGAGAGTAGAATAGTGGCATAATTCTTTCTCAAAAGGAGAGGGTGCAGATCCTGTCCTGTCTGTTTCTTCAGAAGAAAGGTTTAAGTATAGAGAGGAGGGAAATGGCAAATTGCCCAGTAAATAGGAGAAGAGGCCTGATCTTGCCTATGCTTCATACCTCAATCAATTATTATGGTCACAGACTAGCAAATAAAAGCATTAAAACAATAAGAAGAAGAAACAAAAATAAAAGACAGGGAGAAAAATGTATTATGATTGGTGGTAGATTAATAGTGGGCAGCAAATAAAAGCATTAAAATATTAATAGTAAAAGATAAAAATAAAAGACAGAATAAATACATTGCAATTGGTGGTGGATTAACAGTGGGCAGTTAAACTAATTTTACATACAGCGTAGCAGAATTGGCCACACTACTTCACACTGATCAGATAACAGTAGCTGAACATTAAAAAAAATCGGTATTTCCTGGATATTTTATTAGGCAAAGTGTTATAAATTGAGTCCGTGAAGATGCAGTACAGAAGGACCTGAGCTAATTTCAATGGCTCCTTGTCTACAGAGCACAATGTCAGCTCTCATGGTTTTTTTTTTTTTTTGCATTGCCTCCCCCAAAACTGTGTTGGGCTGCAAGTGGGTTGTAAATAGTCACTCTTAGTGGAAATAACAATATGCCACCCATGTAGAAGTTAAAAGAAAAAGCTCCTGCACTGCTTGCTTTTTCTCATGGTGCAAAGGACAGGTAGTCCTCGATTTACAACAGTTCATTTAGTATCTATTCAAAGTTACAACGGCACTGAAAAAGGTGACTTATGACCACTTCTCACACTTACAACCTTTGTAGCATCCCCACGATCACGTGATCAAAATTCAGATGTTTGGCAACTGGTTCATACTTATGGACTGGAGCGTTGCTGTGTCTCAAGGTCATGTGATCTCCTTTTGCAACCTTTTGACGAGCAAAATCAATGGGGAAGCCATATTCTTTTAACAACCCTGTTACTAATTTATCAAATGCAGTGATTCACTTAAGAATTGTGGCAAGAAAAGTCGTAAATTGGGGCAAAATAATAACTGTCTCACTTAATAGAAATTTTGGGCTCAATCGTGATCATAAGTCGAGGACTTACACCTGTATCAAAATCGAGGTATGAAAAGTCATGATGCCGCCGATTCCCATTCCCCTTCCCCCTCCAAATTTAAACCCTGTCACTTCATTAAAGCGAACACGGCTCCTTCGCTTTTCGTTAAATAATAGAATAATAATAGAATTGTTTATTGGCCAAGTGTGATTGGCCACACAAGGGATTTGTCTTAGGTGTATGTGCTCTCAGTGTACGCAAGGAGAATAAAATACATTCTCAAATATAAGAATAAAAAGATACAACACTTAGTGATAGTCAAGGTTACTAATAAGCTATCAAATCGTACTAGGAAACAAAAACAATATAATTGAAAGATAAAATTGAACGATAAAAGCAGCGCCCCCGGGACGGGTAGATCTCCTAGCCCTGGCAAGGATGCCCCGCTGATTTCCAGCCTCAAATTTGATCGCGCGCGCCGGCTGCTCCCGAGACCAACCGCTCCACCTTTGGGGACTGTGGGAGGGGACGGAATAAACAGCCTCACGAGAGCTCGAAGCCATCTCCACCTCAGGTAGCCCCTCCTCTCCCCTGGCCCAGCCCCGCCTTATTAGGCGGAGTGGGGGGGGGGGAGAGAAGAGAGATGGAGGGGGCCGCGACAGGCGTAATGCTGGGAAGAGGAAGCTGGCGAACGCTCCCAGGCGGCAACAGCGCAGAGAACAGTGCCTGGAGGGGTCACGAACTCTGACCTTTCGCCAAAAGGCACCCGCTTTCCCCTCCCCCCACCAACATTCCTCCTTCTCCCCCCCCCCCCCCCCTCCGCTACCCCCTCCGGTGCCCCGTCCTCCGCCTTCCCCCCCCCCCCCCTTGGCGGAAGGCGGCGGCCGCGGGGGGGGGGGCTAACGAACCAGGCCCAGCGAACCGTTAGGAGGAAGCCACCGCCAAGCTAAGTTTGGCGCCAAATCCTGAGGTAAAAAAAACCGCCTTATGCTTGCAGGCGTCGAGGTTTTCTTTCCGGCCCCGCGGCTGAGGCGGGCGGGCAGCAGTGCCGCATGGCGGAGTGTCTGACGGGCCGCGCGTGTCTCAGTGGGTAAAGAAGAGCCTCTGGCTTGGCGGCTTGGCCGCAGTTCTTTTCTTTGCCGTGGGCGGCTTTGCGCTGCGAGCTTGCCGCACAGCCGGTCTAACCGCGAGCGAAGTGGAAGGAAGATGGAGTCTGAGCGGGCGGAGGCAGTGGCTTGAACCCGACCCTTTTACCTTTGCCACCGGGAGGGCGGAGGGGAGGGGGCGGCGGGTATTTTGCATACGGGGCAGCCCGTCGCCATCTTTGCGGACGTTTCCCCCACCCAACCTAAGCGTCGCTTAGAACAGCGGTCTGCATGTTTGAGGCGCCCCGCGGCCGAGTGTGAGGAAAGAAGGCGTCGGAGTGAAGAGCCATCAAGGCCGGGAGATGGGGGGGGAGAGAAACAAATGGCGGAGCTTATGGAATTGGCCTCCTGCCAGCTCCGCCATTTTGTCACTCGCTTAGCTCATGGGAAGCTCTTTCGTCTTCCAATTTGCCCCCCTCCGCCGCATTGGGAGGTGGGGCCGAACTTTGAGCGATGGTGGTGTTTTCCAATCAGCTCTCCGTATTGAGAGGTTGGGGCCGAACGTTTATTGATCGGTGGTACTCTCCAATGAGCGCAGAGGCAGCTGGTTTCCGTCTTCCTAATGAAAATGAATTGGTTGAAGGGAAAACGTGGGAAAAGGGGAGTTTGTGTTTTGAAGGAGATCAAGCATCATGAATTCAGCGTTTTTTAATTGTGTTAATTGGGATGCGTTCTTTGTTTTAATATAGATATTTCCCATGTATCTTTTGTCATGGAAGTGCGTTCCTTGGAATTCAAGATCACGAAATTGAACTCAAAATATAGACAGCTCGTGCTGTACAACCGTTAGTCAGGGAGACGGACAACTTTGTTATTTATGATGCTGCTGCTGTGTATTTTTAAAAGCTGCAAATAACATTTCATCAGAAAATTGATATGGTGAACAAAAGATAGAAAACACTGCACTCGGCTGAAAACCAATGTAGCATAGGAGTTAAGGTATAGAGCTACCACGAGAAACCCCAGATTCAAGTTTTCTGTTAGCCATGGAAGTTAATGCTTTGGACCAGCAAATCTCTTTCATGTTAAAATGAAAGTGATGAGGGGCAAAAGATGAAGTACTATGTATGTTTCCTTAAGCTCCCTAGCAGAATATAATAAATGACGCTTTTTACCATTCCCTATCTTAAAAAATAAGCCTAGTGAATAATTGGATGAGGAAAGTCACCCGAAATTCCCCCTGCAACTAAACTAGGAGATTGAAAAAACATCTCTGAGAAAGGCAGTGGCAAACTACTTTAATGCAAAAAAAAAAAAAGTGGGTGTATCTTTGAAGTCACCAGAACTTGAGCTGAGCAAGGAGATCTTGTTTTATTGCAATATTAGGCACAATGCACTTACCAAAATAACATGTATATGAAAATATATGCTAATTTATACTACTTGTTTCTCACCTATTAATGTATTACTGGTCATTTTGTGCTAGTGTAATTATAATTATATTTTAAGCATGTAATTGAATAAAATATCAAATGCCATCTACTCCAGTACTCATTTTAAATCATTCCTTCATTTTCTTCCCATTATTGAACCTAATTTTTCTTATGTGAACATAATACCAAGGCTTATTTCTCTTAGAATAAATGGCCTTGAATAAGGAACTTGAAATGTAAAATGCAAGCTATTAACATTATTATAGTCTGCTTTGCTGATGGTTCCAGTGGAAATGATACCTGCACATGTAAATTTATATAAATGAGGTGATCTTTAATGAAGCAATACAAGCTTTCCAGTGTTTTGGGCAATACACTTTGCAGGACATCTCTTTCAAATACTTTTCCAAATTTAAGGTTTATAATCAGTTTCCTCTAGGAACAATTAATTTCTATTTTCAGTTTCTTTGCAGAACAAGTTGGACCAAGTAGTCCATCTTTGTTTGCACACATATATTGACACATTGTTTAGTCATACTTTATTCCATTAATCCAAATTTTCTTCCTTCCTTTGTAGGCAATTCCATTCAGTTTTGATAGAGTGGGAGGGAGACAGGTTTTTCTATAGGTCCCTCTGTAGAGTCCTATAGGATTCAAAACTATCCCTCCTGTTTAATATCTGTACAGAATTACTGGTTGAGGCAGTGGTGAAATCTAAAATTTGTTACTACCAGTTCTGTGGGCGTGGCTTGGTGGTGGGGGCAATGTGACTGGGTGGGCGTGGCCAATTTTTTTTAAACTTTTAAAACCATTTTTTACATGTAAAGCCATGTAAAAAAATGCTTTCAAAAGGCTCTGATGATCCCAGCTGAGTTGCCTGATCATCAGAGGGTTTTTTTAAAAAAAAAGTTGGGCAGGTAACTCAGCTGGAATCGTCAGAGCTTGGCTGGTTAGAGCTTGGCTCGTCAGAGGCATTTAAAAGAAAAAAAGCCTCTGATGATCGTGCGGCTCAGCTGGGCATGGGGGGCGGGGGCAAGGAGTTTTGCTACTGGTTCTCTGAACTGCCCGCCACCATTGCTACCTATTCGCCCGAGCCGGTTCGAACCAGGAGCATTTCACCCCTGGGTTGAGGTCACTTGTCAGTTCAGTCTGGTATTATCAATACGGGAATGATAATGCCCAATTACATCTTTCAAACCTGAGCCAACCAACTGATACTTTTGAGGTCTTGGATGGATGGGAACAAATTGACTTCATTTCATCTTACCAAGACCATATGGCTATGAATATTGAGGATCCCAGAGACAGGGATTTTCCATTTTTAGTCCTAGCTCGGGTTGCACTTCCCCATTTCGAAGTGATGTATATTCAAAGATGTTCTTGTCTCACAGTTCCTGCTTGAAGAGACCCTTCAAAGAGCTACTTACATGTAAGTCACCTATGAACTCAAATATTGCAGTGCATTTGTGGTTAATATGAGGCTTTCCTTGAAAACTCCCAGAAGCTTTAACTGGTCCAGATTGCATTGGTGTGAGCACTAATGGGCATGCCTTAGTCTGACTATGAGATACCCCTGCTTTGCAAGTTGCATTAGTTGCCAGCCTGCTCGCGTATACAATTCAAGGTACTGGTTGTCAGTTATAAAGCCCTGCATGGCATAGAGCCAGGTTCCTTTATAGATTACTTATAGGTTTCTACCTGGCCAGTACAAATTGACAGAATTGGCATGCTCCCTTCAATTAAATAATGCTGTTTATCTGGACCTGAAAAGTGCATCTTCTCTATTGTGGCACCTGCTTTCTGGAAAAGGAATGCTGTGGCTTCTGCCCTGATGGCATTCTGGAAGGCCTAAAAGACCTAGATGTTTCCCCAGGCTTGGGGTTAGAGAGCATGTGCTTCCTTTGTTGTATAAGTCTTTGAGTAGCTGGATGCCATTTTGTTTATCTGTGTTGTGTTTTTATTTTGATCTCTGATATTTTGAATTGCCCAGAGTTGTTTGGAGTCAGTCAATATTTGACACTATTAAATAATTAAATGACAAAAATTTTACCATTATTCACAAGATAATGCTATTAGAATTAATGATAGTTAATACTGACTATCCAAAACCACAATAATTTTTAATAGACAGTTGAAGAATATTATTATTAGTTATTTGAAAGACTTTGGAATAGACTTGGAATGCTTATATTAACAAATCAGGGGTTAAAGGCCTTAAAGAATATTACACATATTTCTTTGCTTTTTAAGGTACAATTATTGCCACAGTATATTTTTAATGCTTACTGGGCATCTCAGATAATCTTTTTAAAAGATTGGCTATTTACATTTTAAAGCTAGAAGTACTATATAGAATAACTAGCTGTACCCGGCCACGCGTTGTTGTGGCCTAGTCTGGTGCTTCCGCTGGGCTAAAAGAGTGAGGCTGAAGTTCCAAACTCTCCACGAACATTTGGTGGGTGTGGCCAACTCGACGTCACTCATTTTCATCAGTCACATGACAGCCCCCGAGCCACGCCTGCCCAGCTGGTGATTAGGGCAGAGAACCGGTTACTAAAAAAACAATGGGAACTTTGTATCTCTCTTTGTATCTCTCTATGTCTCTCTCTTTCCCCCCCCCGTATCTCTCTATGTCTCTCTCTCTCTCCCCCTCTCTCTGTATCTCTCTTTCCCCCCCTCTGTATCTCTCTATGTCTCCCCCCCTCTGTATCTATGTGTCTCTCTCTCCCCCTCTCTATGTCTCTCTCCCCCCTGTATCCCTCTATGTCTCTCTCCCCCCTCTGTATCTCTCTATGTGTGTGTCTCTCTCTCCCCCTCTCTCTCTATCTCTATATGTGTCTCTCCCCCCCCCGTCTCTCTGTATTTCTATATGTCTCTCTCTCCCTCTCTCTCTGTTTATCTCTGTCTCTGGCCTGGCCTCTTCTGCATCCCCCGCCATCACTCTTACCTTTTCAGGCCAGGCCTTCGCAGATCTCCGCACCACAGCAGAAACTCGGGAGCCCCCTTTGTCCTCCCTACACAGATGTTCTCTGGGGACTCGACGGGGGGATGCATAGGAGGGAAGGGAGGGAGGGGGCGCTGTGGGGGTTCGAGGCTGGTTTGGGGCTTCCCGCCCAAAGGAAGAAAGCGGCAAAGCCAGGAGCCACGCACACCCCACTGGACCCTTGCTGCGCAGTTCTCCTCCCCCACCTGCCAAGGGCAGGGGAATGATTAAATCCCCCGCTCTTCCAGGCGAAACGAAGAAGGGCCGGCCATGCTCCTTCCTGCCCGTTTCCGCCCCCCGAAGCCTCCCCGGAGCGTCTTTTCTGCCAGAGGGTGAAATTTTCGTGTAGGCTCCGTGAACTGCCAGAGCGCCCACCTGGGAATCAAAGGCAGTGCTGGTCAAAGGCGACTCTGAGGCTCCAGTTGCCTCCATCTCCCGCTCACCGACTGGATTCGCAAAGCGCCGGTTAGCAGCTGGTCTTTCTGACCTCGGGGCCCGTGGTAGCGCTGGGCCAGGCGCGATTCGGGCCAGGCAAGGGATGGAGGGTTCCCGCTCGGCGGACCCAGGTAGCCTCGTTGCCAGGTATTCTTTGGAGGGAGCCCCGAGAACGGCTGGCGAGGGGGATGGGCAGCAGCGGCGGGCAAGGCTAATTCGCTGGGTGGCCGGGGGAGGGGGAGATCAGAGCCAGGCTCCGGTGGGCCCTGCCCAGCCCTAGAAGCGCCGGCTGCGAGGGCTTCCCAGCGAGGAGCTGGCTGCCTACCTGCCGAGCCTGGTGGCAGGATATGGCGTCTCTGCCTTCCAAATGCGCAGTTTCTTGGAAGCAATATGGAGAGTCTAAATATAAGAAGCAGAAATCTGTTGAGCGTAATCAGGGCTGGGAGACTGCCATGTTGGTTTTACGTCCAGCAGATGGCGCTGTTCTTCAATGTTTGTCAATGTCTTTCAATGTTTTCCAATGTTTTTCATGTTTTTACCTGTCACAGGTGTGACATGTATATAATATAGATATATAAAAACACGCCTGTAGTCGAATGCAACGTTGTGTCAAAATTTGAAAGCAATCGGTGAAGAACTTTCGGAGATGTCCAATTATGTACAAACGGACATTTACATTTTTATTTATATAGATGACAATCACTTTATGTGAGATGAGAACTATATAAAGTTAATAAATAAATAAGAAAGAACATACAAATACAATATGCCTTCTCCCACTATTGTCTCATTTTGCTTTAAGATTTATAATGTGGCTATCATAATTTTGGAAAAGAATGCAACAAAGATATAAATAGATATTTGAGTTAATACTAAAAATTTGGAATTTGTTAAAATACAGGTGTACTGAGCATGGGGTATAGCAAAAAAGAAAAAAATTGCAGTAGAAAGATGGATCAGGATATAGAGTCTTGGAGTGGATATGAGTTTGCTCTCATAAACTTGCTCTTTATTGATGTAAAGGAAAGACTGATCAATATATATGGTCAATATTTAATGCATTTTTAATACTAAATGTACTATTACTGCAAGTGAACTGCATAATTTTTAATGGTTAGAGTTCTCCAATTCTATTTAAATTTTGATATTGAGGTCAGCTATGATTTAACTAGTGCATAGATTTCTTTTTAGTGTGAGCAAAGTAATTTGAAAGGTAAGGGCTATCACTTCTTTATATGCTAGTTCTGTCAGTTGGCAAAGAAAAAAATGGTTCCATGGTTGAAGAAGGTGATTAGTATCTCCCTGAAGAGAGGTTTCCTCTTCCTCTACTACCACTCTACCTGTTTTATACAATAAAGCTTATAAAGTGAAATTCTTGTTAGTTAATTATCTACTTGAAATTTAATAAATATTCTAATTAATGGAAGTTTATATATATATATATATCATTATCACATCACAGTATCTTGAAAATAACAAATTCATGACAATTATTGGTCCTATCAGAGGCTAACTGATGCAATTTTCTATTGGTTTCTTGCAAAAGAAATAAGGGTCTAGTCATAGCATTCCAAAATTACACAGAGTTTTTTAGCCTGACTAAACAGACAAAAGAAATTTGCAAAAGCAGATGTTAGCTTTATTTTGCCAAATGTTAATAAAATCTTTTTATTTACCTGGTAAACTGAAACAAAAGCACAAATGGGATAATGGGATTATGATTATAAGTAAGTTTGTGTGTGATATTTGTACTTGATTTTATTTATTTATATTCCACCTTTATTTATACAAATAATACAAGCCAGTAAACATCAAATATAGCTTTCTTCTTCCTATTTTAGTCACAACAGTCCTGTGAAGTGAATTGGGCTAAGAGAGTGTGACTGGCCCCAGGTTACAGAGCTGGCTTTTATGGCTGAAGCGGGACTAGAATTTATGGTTTCCGTGTTTCTAGCCTGGTGTCTTAACACTATAGTCATTTGTTTAATATGGCTTCGTTGAGACTGTTTAGAACTTTAGACAAGTCCCTGCAGTTTTCTTGGTAAGGTTTTTCAGAGGTGGTTTGTCATTCCCTCCTTCCTAGGTCTGAGAGTGACTGGCTTGAGGTCATCCAGCTGGCTTCTTGCCTAAGGGGGGACTAGAACTCATGGTTTCCAGCCTGATATCTTAAGCACTACAACAAACTGGCTCTCACAGTAGCCTAATCCTACATAAATCCATTCTTGTTTTAGATTTATAGCTGCCTCTATATCTGACAGTATTAAATTCTGCAGTGTAAAAGTAACGAAAATTTACTTCTACTGGTCCTAACTCTCTCTTCATGTTGTTTCACTTAGTGACTCCATATCCTAATACAGTACAGTGAAAATGGAAGGCATGCTTCTCTCTGTTCATAGTCTGTAGCACTTCATCTCACAAGCACTCGGGACTTTTTAGGGAAATAAAGAGGCTAAAGCAGGAGTGGGCAACTATGGCTCATTTACCGATGGACTTCAGAATCCAGAATTCCTGAGCCAGTCATGCTGTGGGAGTTGAAGTCCACATAATGCTGCTGTAAAGGGGCCATAGTTACCTACCCTTGGGCCAAAGGGAGCTGATCCTTTTTGCAAAAAAGGGACTACCTGTAATTTGCAAAATACAGGTAGCCCCTGACTTAAGACCAGACATTTTACAAAGTTGCAACAGCCATGGAACAAATGTTTGACAACTTATAAAGCACTCCATTTGTCGTAAATGATTGTGCTCCTCCATGGTCATGTGATCACATGTCAGGTAGGTCAGCTTTATGACCAGTCACAGCATTCTGCAATCATGTGACCATGATTCATCAAACTACTATTTTGCCAGCTTCTTACAAAAAAAGGCTCATTCAAATGAATGTGTTTGCTTAATGGTCACTACAGAAAAGGCTGGAAAATTAATCACAGTCACATGGGTGCCTCAGTTTATGACTGCAGACTTACAATTGGATTTCCAGTCCCAATTACGGTCATAAGTTAAGGACTACTTGTAACAACAACAATATATTTAGCTGAGGAATGCCAGCAGTGTAAAACTTTCTAGAATATTGTGCATTGGCAGAAAGGTGAGTGGCCATTATAGGGGTAATTAAATTGTTCATCTTTGGGATGAACAGAAATTTGAACTCCAATTAGTATTAATGCTACACAAATCTTAGTGTACTGGGCAGCTATAGTAAGTGAGTCCTAAGCTTGATTTTTCCTGAACTATTTACTTTTAACATTACATTCATATTCCATATAAATACATATAAATATTATTAAGAGATTTTTGATAGCAACATAGTGGACTAAATTTATAAAGCCCCATTTCTTGCTAATTTAATAGTTTTTTCACAAGTGTAGCATACTATACATGTTCCAATAAAAATGCTTAGAACAATCATGTTTAAATATGTGCAGCCATAAACCATTATATAATATTTATAACCTCTTTCTGTTCAAATTAGAATTATGCATAAATGTAATTATTCTCAGTAATAAAAATGATAAAATTTCCAATTTTACTGTGCCTGATAGAAGTTACTGGCATCCCTCCAAACAGGTTCTCTAATGATCTTTCACCATGGCAACCAATATGGAGGTGCTGGCTCAGCAAATAGTGGAGACACAGCAGGTGGCTGAGGTGAGTGATGGATAATATTACAGTAGTCTCAGTTCATTTCTAAAAAGAAAATACTGTTCCCAACTAATTAGTTCTAAAGTAGCAATTATTTATATTACAATGATATTACTTCATAAAATATAAAGGCATTCTTTTTGTATTAATACACATTATTTATATGAGCAAAATGTCCATTAAGAGATTTAGAAAACATGTCGTTCCCAATCTTTTTAATGCAGCTTGCCAGAAAGGCTGTTGGGTAAAAGACAGAAGCCACATTTGAGTTTTCAACCATATTCCATGTGTTTCATTTTTCTTGTAGCAACCTTAGTTAAAAACTTACATGAAAACTTTTAGACATGCGTAATAAGCCTTCAAAACCTTTCTAAATCAAAATATTCACTTTTTTGTCCTTGAGGCACAATAACGCAAGTTGTTCTCTGCTGTCAGTTGCAAATTATAAGATTATACTTGAGTCATTCCCAGATCATAAAAACTTAGGGTCATGAATCAAATTAATAAAGATGTCTGTGTCATATAGTCTGTTGCCTCATACTTTTGGCAGAAAATTTTAGAGAACATTTGCCCATGTTTTCTACTTAAAAAACTGAATAGAATTGGCAACTTATAATTATATCTCTTAATTTTGTTTACAATAATTCTTACCTGGCCTTTTTTGAAAAAACTAAATGAAATTAACATAATGATTGCAGATAGTCCTTGTGATAGCTGTGGTTTTGAATATTATTTGTGGTATAATAAAGTTTTACAGGAAAATTATAGAGGTCATAAAAGAAATATATAAGCATATTGGTATATTAATTGTAAAGAATTTGAACAAAGCTTTCCAGTTTAGTTCTTTTAATTAGGTAATTTTATTATTAGATTGTGGAATGTTAAATACATCCTAATTTCAAAAACACGTTGCCAATGTGACTTTAAATTTATCCTTATTTTTCCTTTTTTTCCCTTTTTTTGTATTCAAATTGTTCTTTTTATTAGTTTATAATATATAATACAAAAGAAAATAATAGGAAAAAAAGGGAAGGGAAAAGTATCAGGCAAAGGAAAAAAGAAAAAACAATCATTGACTTACGATTCCCTGTAGTGCAGTAGAATAAGATAAGATCAAACCTCTACTTTTTACATAATAAAATAAAACTAGTCATTTCTGTAACAACAAACCTATTAATCAGTAAAATGCAAAGTCCAGAAGTGGTTTCCAAATAGAAACAAAAGTAATTGTATTTTTTTCTTTAATCAAAGCAGTAAATTTGGCCATCTCTGCTAACTCCATCAGCTTTTGCAACCATTCATCCATTGTAGGCATCAAAGTGTCCTTCCATTTTTGTGCATAAAGTAATCTTGCTGCCTTCAACATATATAACATCAAAGTTCCATTTTTCCAAGTCTTTTTCCAGTAGACCCAGAAGAAAAGTTTCTGGTTTTATCTTTATATTCACTTTGAGAATATTCTATACTAAGATGTGAATCCTACTCCAATATGTCTTTGCTTTATCACATGCCAACTCTAAATGATAAAATGTCCCTTCTTTACATTTACAATTCCAACATTCATTTGAAATACCTTTATAAATTCTTGACAACTTATCTGGTGTTTGTTTGTTTGTTTGTTTGTTTGTTTGTTTGTTTGTTTGTTTTATTAGATTTATATACCGCCCTACTCCCAAAGGACTAAGGTGTTAAATACCAATGATATAAAATCTAATAAAATTTTCTTTTCAATTATAATTTAGTGTAAATTTTAGACCTTTCGTCCACATATTATCCCATTGTTCCAGCATTACATTATATCCAAAGTTTCTTGCCCACTGAACCATATTTTACATATTCATTCTCTCAAATTCAATTACAATTTATAAACCTTAGCAATAATATATTCATCAGTATCACACAGTAGGATTTCCAATTCATTTTTCACAAAGTCAAATCCTTAACTCTTTTTATCTAATTTGAATCTTTCTTTCAATTGTAAATATTTAAACCAATGGAAGATGTGTCCTTCTGATTCTAACTCCTCTTTGGGTTTAAGGATAGGAAGATAGGATCACCAAATTTAAAAGATATCATTTGACCATAAGTCCATCAGTCTGGCTTTGACAGCATTTCCTAATTTCAACAACACATTGACAATGTACTTCTAAATATATCCTTATTTTTAAATATATTTTAATTTCAATAAACCATTGACAAAGAGAGTCATTTTGGTTTAGTGGTTAAGGTGCCAGGAGAATGTGAGTTCTAATTCTGCCTTAAGCATGAAATCCAGCTGGGTGACCTTAGGTCAGTCAGTCATTTTCTCTCAGACCAGTCCACCTCACAGAGTTGTTATGAGGAAAATAGGAAGAGGAAGGAGTATTAGGCATGTTCACCACCTTGAGTTATTTATGAAAAATAATAAAAGTGAGATAAAATCTTTTTAAAAGTGTGCCATTAACTTCCAAATGGGTATCCAGTTATGTAAGGTCTAGATAGCAAGACAATTAAATGAATACATCACTGAATTGAAAATCCTACACAAACAATGCTTATTAATGATTTCCTAACAGGCTGAAGTAATGGATGGGGTACTACACTGTTCTTGGTCCTATTTTGTTGTTATTGTTAATGATTTTGATGAAGAAATAAAGAGAATGCTCATTAAGACTGCAGATGATGCAAAACTGAAGAGAATAATAATGTTATATAAGATGAAGATAATTTTAAATGGTCTTGATGTGTCTGAGAAATGGGCTGAGAAAAAAACAGAATTAAATTTAATAGAAATCCAAAATTTATTCTTTCTAAGGAAAGCAATGAACTGCATGGTTTGTTGTCAAAATGATCTAGGGATAGTAGTTGGTTGCAACCGGGATATGAGCAGAAGGATATGACTGCAGCAATAGCAGGCACAATTTTAATCTACATCAATAGAAATATAGCTTCCAAATTTTGAGAAATAGTTCTGCTATATTGTACATTATTCAGACCTCAAGAATTGTTGCCAGTTTCGCATTCCACAGTGCAAGCAGGATTCAGACATTGGAAAACAGTAGAAAAACAGCCCAGATGATAGAGTATTACAAGAAATAAAAAAAGTTGAAAAGAGAAGACTGAGAGGGATTTGGCACAATTCAAATATACGAAAGGATACCTTAATAAACACTAAGTTTTGTTTTGCTATTTATTTATTTAACACATTTCTTAACTGCCCATCTCCCTCAGAGAGAGGCTCAGGGTGGTATACTTTTTTATTTTTATTTTTATTTATTTTATTTCAAATTTATATACCGCACCTTCTCCCAAGGGACTCAGGGCGGTGTACAGCCAGATAAAAACACACAATACAAACATTAAGAACAATTAAAAGAATATATATTAATTTGGCCCCAGTTTAAAATGACAAACCAATTAAAAATTTAAAATTTAAAAATATGTTAAGCCAGCCCGGCTTGATGAAAAAAGAAAGATTTAAGGGCACGGCGGAAGGCACCTAGGTCAATTCAATCAATAAAATCAAGCATTAAAAACAGAATTTAAGATTAAAAAAAATAAAAAAATAAAACAACATTGTAAAATTACAAAAGATGCAGAATTCCAAGATGGGGAGGTTAGCAGTTGTTAACACAAGCCAGGGTGGGTGGGTGGGTGTTTCTCATGGGGCCAGGGGTGAAATGCTCCCGGTTTGGACCGGCTAGGGCGAGTAGGTAGCAATGGTGGCGGGCAGTTCGGAGAACCGGTAGCAAAAATCCCTGCCTCCACCCCCCATGCCCAGCTGAGCCGCGCGATCATCAGAGCCTTTTTTTTCTTTTAAATGGCTCTGACCAGCCAAGCTCTGACGATCCCAGCTGAGTTGCCTTGCTAACCAATAGCAAAAATCCCTTCCCCCCCCCCCCTCCCCCCAAGCCTCCAGCTTGCTTACCTTAGCTGCTGGTCAAAACGCCTTGCTGTAATCCCTGCAATCCATTGCATCAGCAAGCAACTGAATCTGCCTGCCTGCAATCAAACTCATCGATGAGCAGCTCTATCTGCCTGCCTGCCTTCCTGCCTGCCTTGTACCTTCTATTGCAGGGGTCTCCAACCTTGGCAACTTTAAGACTTGTGGACTTCAACTCCCAGAATTCTGGGAGTTGAAGTCCACAAGTCTTAAAGTTTCCAAGGTTGGAGACCCCAGTTCTATTGGGTAAGTTTTTTTCCCCTTTGGGAGCTTTAAAAAATGGTTAATTGGGGGGGGGGGTTTAGTTGTTCTTTTTTTAGACCTAGCCATTTAAAGTTTAGGAAGTTTTAAATTTAGCTGCTTTTATATACAAATAAAATAAATAAAATAAAATAAAATAAAATATATTTGTGCAGCTTTCTGAGATTTAGTGTGTTTCTGTAGTATTTCACTTTAACTACACAAACACAAAAAATCTCACAAAGCTGTATGTGGAATTTTGTGTGTGTGAAGTGTGAAAGTTGGTTTTGGGGCTTTTTGTGGCTGTGTGAGGTTCCTGCTTGTTGCAGGGGCCATTTTGGGTCTAGCACAGCTGCTTTTACATTGTGGGTGAGCCAGTTGTGTTGTGTTGTGTTTTGTAGGTTAAAAAAGGGCAAAGAAGTGACATTGACTTGGCCACACCCACCTGACCAACAAGCCACGCCCACCCAGTCACCTTACCAAAAAGCCCCACCCACTAATTAAGCCACGCCCACAGAACCGGCAGCAAAAAATTTTAGATTTCACCCCTGCATGGGGCCAACTAACCCCAGAGTAATGTGTGCCCTTGTGCCTCTACACAAGACTATACAGTCAAGTTTCCACCCTTTTATAGAAGGCCAAAAGATTGGAGGATTTCCTCACGTATGAGGGCAAGATGTTCTACAAAGCAGGGGCAGCATCAGAAAAGGCTCTCTTCCTGGACTCCACCAGTTGAAATTCTTTGGCTGACGAGGTCAATAGCATGTCTTCCGTGTCTGAATTAGTGGGACTGGCTGATGTGATGAGGCGAAGCAGTTCTGTAGGTAACCTGGCATTAACGTCA